AAAAAAAAACCATTAACCACAAAACAGGAAAACTATTTTTCAATTTCAAGAATTTTAGAGGATGGGGGGAGGGGAATATGGAAGAGGGAGAATGATGGAGGAGATAAATCTAACTAAGATACATAGTAAGCACATATGTAAATATAATAATGTATCCCCTATACAACTATTATATGCTAATAAATTTAAAATAAATATAAAGAATTTTAGAGGATAGTCTAAAGTCATATACTAATTACCATCTAAAATCATGTAAAATATGCTAATACATATAATCAGATGCAAATGCAAAGCAAAAACTCTGGATTTATCATGGGTCATAATGAAACAATGCCATAGGTACCCTGGAGAAACATGGAAAAACAGTGAAATTGATAAAGTACACTGGGAAGTGATGTCACATTACCCAGTGTCTAAGGTAGGTACTCTTAGATTTACTCATGCTCCTGCTCACATGTCCCACTTCCATGTCCTGCTTCCCTCAGGACTAACAAATGTCTCACCCAGTGACTCTGTCCTCGCAGTTTATCATTCGATTCTCCTACTATTTCTTCCCAAACAGCAGCTGTTCGGTCAAAAGAACAGGAAGCTAAAACCTGTCCAAATTCAGGGTGGGCCCATGTCACACGCCATACAGATCCACTGTGTGTCTGAGGAATTAAAAACAAAACAGAACTGACTTCACTCATACTTAGTACATACGAGGTTTTACTCAAGGAAAGAGAATACAGATATTTTTACGTCAGTAGGAGAAAGCTGATCAATTTAACATTAAAATTAAAAAATTAAATTCTAAAATTTTTTAGTCTATATTTAGGACTGTGGCCTCCTGGAGTTAAGTGATTCTAACATATAACTAATAAAAACAAACCCAGAGAGATAAAGCTCATTACTTCCACTACTAACAGTTGGAGACTTGCTTCACAATGTAGCCTAATCAAGCCTAGGAACAGATTCTAAAATCTGCCATGTTTTTAACCTGCTTTTTTAAACTTGTTTTACAAGAAACATCGACCTAGCAAAATAAGTAAAATTAAACTAATCCAAAGAAAGAAAGTGGATTAGTGGTTAGCAAGGACTGGGGAAGGGGGAATGGGAAATGACTGCGGTGGATACAGTGTTTCTTTGTGAGGTGATGAAAATGTTCTGGTGTGATGGGTATACAACTTTGTAAACATCATTAAATTTTACACTTTCAATGGATAATTATTACAGCATATAAATTAGAACTCAACAAAAAGTACTATTCTGCTTTAACACAATTACTTGGAACTGGCATTAGCTCAGTGATAGCGTGTGTGAGGCCCTGGGTCTGATCTCCAGCACTGCAAAAAAATGTATTTTTTTTCTTACTATTATTTTTTACTATAACAATTATTATTTTACCATTATTTTTATTTACTTCAAAAGCCTAACATTATACAGAGACTCTAGCAACAAAATGCTTAAATAATTCTGACTGATGTCTGGTTAGATAATGAACTATCCCAGGAAAAGATGAATTGAATGAGCAAAAATGAGAAGCCCAGTGAGAAAAATCACATGGTCTACAATTTACAACGATTCACCTTCTAACTCTGATTTTATGATGGTACAAACACAGTACTTCAAATTCTGAGTTTTGAGCAATTCCTTGGTTAATAACATGCAGCATCAGACCTGAACTGGAATCTATCCCATTGGCTCTCAGGTTCTCAAGCTGGGGAACTATGCCATCAGCTTTCCTCAGTGTCCAGTCTACAGGAGGCACACTGTGGGACTGCTCAGCCCTTCAGCCAGAGAATCCCCCACTAACACAACTCGTACTCCTATAACAATAAGAGTCACCAGATATATGCACACATAGGAAATGGCAGCAAGGACACAGCAAAAAGGAAGAAGGTGGCTATACATGCAAGTGAAGAAGAGAGCTTACCAGAAAACACTTGATCTTGTACTTCCAGCCACTCCCGCAAAAAAAAAAAAAGATTCTATACTTCTGTATATCTAACATTTTTTATATTCAGCAACCTAAGAATGCTTTCTTTTTCTTTTTCTTTTTTTTTTTTTTGTCAGTACTGGGGCTTGAATTCAGGGCCTATACCTTGAGCCACTTCACCAGCCCTTTTTTGTGATGGGTTTTTTTTCAAGATAGAGTCTCACAAACTATTTGCCTGGGCTGGCTTCGAACCATGATCCATCCTCCCGATCTCTGCCTCCTGAGTAGCTAGGATTACAAGCATGAGCTACTGGTGCCCAGCCTAAGAATACTTTCTTAACCCAGTATTTCTACATGGTAACAACACACCCTTGTTGTTTTGGGGGCTTGAGGGGGGGGGGGTTGGGGGGAGGGACTTGGATTTAAACTCAGGGCTTCATGCTTGCAAAGCATGTACTCCAGTCCATTTTGCTCTGGGTATTTTGGAAATGGGGACTCTTAAACTTCCTACCAGGCTGGCCTCAAACCATAATCCTCCTGATCTCAACCTCCCAAGTAGCTAGGATTACAGGTGTGAGCCACGGGTGCCTGGTGCTCCCTTGTTTTTTAATCCTAGTTTGTCTAGTCTTCTGCATTTCATCTTCAAGTCTTACTTATACTATAAGGAAAAAATGCACTAAGGCACAGAGATTTTATTAAATGTTAAGATTCCCAGAAAAGCACAAGCTAAAGAATAAGGTTTGCACAGAGACATTTATCACAATTTAAAACAAAAACAACAACTTAAATATCCATCAGGTAAGCAAAATAGGGAATATTTAATCAATATTTTATAAAGAGTCTTTAAAGGCACAGGAAAGTAAATTATGAAATATGTTAGACTAAAAGGCATGAGGTAGGGGTTTCCTTTTAGAATAACAATGTTTTGGTATTAGAGATCGGTAGCTGTATAACTTTGTAAATGAAATAAATGCCACTTATTTACTTTAAAATAATGTTAAGTAAATCTTATCATAATTTTTTTTCAAGAAGGACAAAAAACTTAGATAGACCCTTCACCAAAAAAGATATACGAAGAACAAATAAACACATGAAAAGATAATTATCAACACTAATTACTAAGGAAATTTAAGTGAAAATCCAATGAGATACCACTTCATACCCACTAAAAAGATTATAATAAAAAACAAAAGACAGTGGTATCAAGGGTAGATGAGGATGTGAAGAAACTAGAACCCTCATATACGACCTGAGTAAATTTAAAATGATAGTCACTTTGGAACAGAGCTTCTTAGAAAGCTAAACACACACAACCCAGCAATTCCACTCCTACACATCTACCCAAGAGAAATGAAAACACAGGTCCACACAAAGACTTGTACAGCATGTTCATAACAACACTGCTATAGTCTAGACTCTGAGTATCTTCTAAAGACCTATATATTGGAAGTTAGTCCCCAGGAGACACTATTGGGAGGCAGTAGAACCTTTAAGATTTGAGGCCTTGTAGGAGGCCTTGATATCATTGGGAGTGTGCCCCGGAGGGACCCTTCCTCTTTCTGTCTTTGCTCCCTTGCCATAGGGTGAGTTCCACCACATGGTCCCACCATGATATGTTGCCATGCCACAGGCCTCAAAGTGGTAGGCCAACTAATCATAGACTAAAACCTCCAAAACTGTGAGCCTATTACTCTTCTCCTTGTAAACTGGTTTACTCTTCTCTTTGTAAACTGATTGTCTCAGATGTTTTCCTACAGTGCTGGGAAAGCTGACTAATAAAAACATTCATGGTAACCAAAAACTAAAAATAACTCAAATGTTCATTGGCTGATAAATAAACAAAATGTAGCGTTATCTACACAATAGACAACTCAGCATTACAAATGAACAGACTGACAAATGAGACAATGCTAATGAACCTCAAAAAACATGCTAACAGTAGCCTACACAAAGCACTATGTATAAGGTGTTAATGGTTTGGATATGAAGTGTCCCCACAAAAGGCTCATGTGCTAAGGGTTCCTCCCTCGCTAATGGTATTGGAAGGATCTAGAAACTTTAGAAGATAGAATCTAGCAGGAGGAAGTAGGTCACTTGGGGGAGGGTCCTTGGGAGTATCTTATCCCTGGCTCCTTCCTATCTCTCTGTTTCCTGTCCACCATGAGGTTAAGAACCTTCTCTGCCGTACGCTGCTGCCACATTATGTTCTGCCCAAGCACATGGGGTCAACAAACCATGCACTAAACCCTCTGAAAGTGTGAGACAAAAAAATCTTTCCCCCTTTAAGTTGTTCTTTTAGGTGCTTTGGTCACAGCAATGAGAAAGCTATGTAAAGATTCCATCTACATGAAATTTCTAGAAAAGATGAAACTCTAGAGATAGAAAGGATCAGTGGTTGACTGGAGCCTGGGGCAGGAATAGGAGCTAGTTGCACATGGGCATAAGGGAACGGTCTAAGTTGTTGGAAGTGTTCTAAAACTGGATTGTGGTGAAGACTGCACAACTGTTTAAGTTTACTAAAGCTCACTAAACTGTAACACATAAAATTACTGGCATGGAACTCACTACACCGCCCAGGCTGGCCCTGATCTTGTGATCCTCCTATCTCAGCATCCTCCATGCCAGAATTATAGGCATGCACCACCATCCCCAGTCTGATGTCATTTTTCTACTTTGATCTCTTAGACTCTGACAACTTCTTTTCTTCCTTTTTTTTTTTCTTTCTTTCTTGGGGGGAGGGTGGTACTGGGATTTGAACTCAGGCCTTGTGCTTAATAGGCAGGTGCCCTACCACTGAGTCACAGCCCCCAGCCCATGACTTTAAGGTATAAAGTATGCTACCTCAATAAAAGTGTTTAAAAAAAAAAATCAAGAAATAAAATTATGTATGAAACATCATTACGAAAAATATTTAAAAGAAAAAAGTATGACTCACAGCTGTAATCCTAGCTAACTGGGAGGCTAAAACCAGAGGATAACCATTCGAAGCCAGCCCAGGTGAATAGTTCACGAGATCCCAAAATGGACTGGAGTATGGCTCAAATGGTAGAGTACCTGCTTTGCAAGCACAAAGCCCTGAGTTCAAACCCCAGTCCCACCAAAAAATAAGCAAAAAATAAGGAGAAAAGGTAAAGAAATCTGGTAAAATTCTAATAACATTTATGTTAGAATGCTACATAAATATACTTAGTTATTCACAAATTCTCTGAAACATATTTTTATTACTTTAATAGTGAAAAGATGTAAACTGTCTTTCTAGGAAAAGACCTACATATAAATTTTATAAATTTTCTCAAAGTTGAAATTGCTATGTCATTAACACTATGAAATAGTAAATATTTCAAGTAAAAATAAATACAAACCTTCCAGCTAGCAGTACAATGCCAATCTCCACTTTCACTTTTATCCCAGACCTGTAAGAAAATAAAAAGCAGATACTTTATACAAAGGATTCCTACAAATTGACAAAAAAAAAAAATCTGTGTATTAGCAAAGAGGACAACTTAAAATTCACAAAAGAACAAAACTAGTAAGGAAACACTCCTTCAGTTAATCAAATATTTATTGAGAACCTTGAATGTGCCAGGCACTGGGGCAACCACTGAGGGATCCAGGAACTCAGGCCCTAACAGGTAATGGAGACAGTTATAATCAATTTTTCTCCCCCTCTTCCTGCCCGCTTCCCGTTCTCTTCCCCTCCCCACTCTGGTTTTTTTTTTGTTGTTGTTACTGAGGCTCACACCCAAGACCTTATGATAGGCAGGCATTTTACTGAGCCACGCCCCCAGTCCCTCCACTCTCATTATCAATGTCCTGTAAAGTCACCTTGACTACTGAAATGCTGCTCCTAGAGGAGAGGCAGGTTAGGTTCCTATGAGGCTCTGGTCTACCATGATCATCAACTGATTTATACAAACTTGTTGTGTGTTTCTGCTTAAAAACATCTTATTTCACATGTATTGTTGATTCACCAACACTGAACTCACAGCCAACAGTGCTGTAACTCATGCCTGAAAGACGCTTATTGGACTCTTGTATTTTCTCTGTAAGGCAGAGGGTGTTGACTCTGGGATTACAAATAAATTTTAATGAATAGGCAAAATAACACGGATTAACTGTACACTAACAAAAGCTAAAGCAAAGCATCCAACTTTATTACCCCCCAAAATTATGGATTACAAAAACAAGGTTCCAATTTAATCTGTTAAAAATATACTGACAGTGTCCAGCATGGGCAATGACGCTATCAGACCAATACTGTCACTGGCAATGCTAAGTGGTAACCTGGACTGGTGGTATAGATCAGTGGTGCACTGCTTGTCTACCAGGTGGGAGGACCTAGGCTCCAGCACTGGGAGAGAAAAAGCAATTTTCTAATTCTTATCAAAAGCTTTTAAAATACTAATTTCAGAAGAGAAATTACTGCAAATGAAATAAACCAGACCCAAAAAGGACACATATTCCATGGTTTCATTTATAATAGCCAAATTCGTAGACAGAAAGCAGAATAGAGATTACCAGGGCTGGGAGCCAAAAGGGATAGGTAGTGGATAGTTTCAGTTTGGGATGATGAGAATGTTCTGAGACGTACAGCGATGATGGTTACACAATGTGAACGACTGATGGGCTAAGTGCAGCTACTCAGGAGGTATACTGAGGTCAGCAGGGGCAAAAAGTTAGCCAGACCCCATCTCAACAATTAAGTGTGGTGGCCCAGTACCTGTGTCCCAGGTATGTGAATGGAATAGCTAAGCCTTGTACCAGTCTGAGGCTGGCCCTGGGCAAAACGAGAGACCCTATCTGAAGAATAACTAAAGCAAAAAAAAGGGCCGGAGGCTTTTTTGCTCAAGTGGTGGAGCACCTACCTAGCAAGACGTAGGCCCTGAGTTCAAACCCTAGTACTGCCCACCCCCCAGAGCAATGTGAGTTGTGCTTATTGCCGCTCAAATGTACACTTTAAAATGGCTATGTAGTTAAGCATTTCTAAAGTGATCCTAAGCCTGTTAAGAATCATAACCCTGTTTATTCGATTGATAACTTTGTCCTCGAGAGATCACTGGCATCAAACTCGAACGTGAATAATGAAAATTGTCCTTCAGTTTTTCGATTATTTTGGAGTGGACCAAAATACAAATAATCCTTACTACAAATTTCATCTTCAAGAGTTAAATAACAAATGCTGCCGTATACGTACGTATACGTATACGTATCTGAGATTCCCAAATCCCAAATCTCATCCTCGTATTATAGATTCTGCTTGTCCGCACAGTCTAAGACGTTCACGCATTAGAAACCGGCCCACCAATTCCTAGATAGCAAGCAGAGAACTTCACTGGACCTAACTGGTTTGTAGTTTCCTTTCTGGTCTGAAATTAAAGAGAAAAAAATCTGCCCAGGCGGGGCGAACAGCCAGCCCTTCCTTCAGACCCCGTCGGAAAGCCCTCTGGCCCAGCAAGTGCGACGGCGTAAAGCCAATGGCTCCCAAGCGCCAAGCGGACCCCAAGCGCCAAGCGGACCCCAAACACCGCCGAGCGCCAGCAGCGGGCTCCGCGCCCCTCACCCAGAGACCCGACCCCGGAAGCGCGACTTGACCCCGGAAAGCGTGACGGGTTCGTGCGCTCAACGCAGCCCCCACCCCAGGGAGAGCGGGAGCGCGCACGTGGGGAGACGCCGACCCGCGCAGACGCACCGGACCCGCGCAGTCGCCGGGTGCGCGGGCCGCCGTGCGTGACCCCACAATGCCGGGGCGGGGAGGTCTCGTCCCAGCGCGGGCTCGCCCGCCGGAGGTTGCTCGCTGCCCAGGGTTCCGTGCCTCGTGCCCGGCGGCGTAGGCTGAAGTCGGGACTAGTTCCTTTTCTCCACGCCGGCGTACCCTCCTCTCACTCCTCCCCCTCCTTCCTGGCTTGGCAGGCCCGAGAGCGCTGCGCGCACCTTGACGCTCTGGTCGCTGGAGCAGGTGGCCATCCGCCGCCCGTGGAAGTCGAAAGAGACATCATGGATGAGATCCTTGTGGTCCGCCGCGATGCTGCGCGCCACAAACATGGCTTCCGCCGACGCGCCGCCTCCGTCTGCCCCTCCAGCCACCTAGAGGGCGGCGGTGGCGCGCGGCCGGCAGCCACCCGAGCCGCCGCGGGCGCGCGCACGGCCCATGTGCCTGCGCCTACTCCGCCCGCCCTGGCTCGCTAGCGCGCGCGGGTGAGAGACGTCCCTACCACCCGCAGAGTCGGCGCGCTCCACAGCTTAGCTGGGTTTAGCTAGGGGTGAGCGCTCCATGACTGCCCAGGTCTTCAAAAGCGAAGACGTGCGGGGCGCCCGGAGGTGCAGATCAGGAGGATCGTTGTTCAGAAACAGCTGAGGCAAATAGTTTGCCAGATCCTATCTCGAAAAAAAAAAAATCGCAAATAAAAAGGGCTGGTGGAGTGACTCGAGATGTAGGCCCTGAGTTCAAACCATAGTAGGGGGGAAAAAGTCACAGCTGGAGCCAAAATGGGGATGAAGACGTAGTGGAAATGAGAACTACCCTGGAGCCCTAGTCTCCAAAGGAGAAATAAGTAAAATAAGAAAAAAAAAAAAAAATCAAGGATTCTGTTAAGAGCTGACAGAGTGACAAGTACACAAGGCCCTGAGCTCAAGCCCCCATACAGCCAACAAAAACAAAAACAAAAGGATTCAGGCAAAGCCAGAAAGTGGAGGAACATGTTATCAGAGGTTAAGATTTTAAGGATTTTTTTTTTTTTTTTTTTTTAATCAGAGAAAGGCAGTCCAGGAGGCATAGTAAACTTAGATAGAATGGGAAAAAGAAGATTGGGTCAGGGAAGAGAAAGTACAGAGAAAAATGAAGAAATGAGTCAGCAGAGGGGCTTGCACTTTAGATTATGGCCAGGAATGGCATGAGCCTGAGGTGTGATAAAATGAACAGTTACAAAGTTTTCAGAATAATTCGTCCCAACCTCCCCTCTGGTGGACTGCACAGAAACCTGTGAGAGAAGAGGGGAAATGACCTAACCTTTCTGAATTTCTTTTTAACTTCCTTTTTTTAAAACTAAAAATAAGACTTTATTTCTGCCCTTAGAGGCAGACTCCAAGTTCATGTGTTGTAGCTATAACCACTAGCAACTGAACTTCTTTAAGGTCAAAAACACTCATTTCCAAAAAAGTATTCACTGTCTACAAATATTCAATTTATTAAAACACCAGAAACTTAAAATTTTTAAATATTTTTGAAAAGCTATATTGAAATGGAGTTAACCAAGATCTGAGAGAAGGTGGAATTTGAATAGGGGAAACAGGACTTTTTTTAAATTAACTTTTACAACACTTTTGGGTTCACAGCAAAGTTGAGCACAAAATACAAAGAGTTCCCATATACACCCCTATTTACACACACAGCCTCCTCCACTATCAACATCCCACACCAGAGTGGTGATAGCAGCATCACCAAACTCCCTTTTACGTTAGGGCTCATTTTTGGTGTTGGACCTTCCATGAGTTTGATTTGATTTGGTTTTTTGTGGTCCTGAGGTTTGAACTCAGCCTTGCACTTTGCCAGGCAGGCACTCTACTACTTGAGCCATACCTCTAACCGCCCCATAGGTTTTAACAAATGTAAAAAGACATGTATCCACTGTTACAATATCATACATTCACAGCCCTAGAAATCCTCTGTTTTGCCTATTCATCCTCCTCTCCCCTAATCCCTGCCCACCACTGATGCTTCCACATTCTCCATGGCTTTGTCTTTTCCAGAATGTCATATAGTTAGAATCATGGACTTTGTCACATTTTTCAGATTGGCGTCTTTGACGTCTTTGACGTCTTTGGCGTCTTTGACTTAGTAATATGCTTTGACGTCTTTAGCATCTTTGACTTAGTAATATGCTTTTGAGGCTCCTCTGTGTCTTTTCAGGCTTGATAACTGGATGTACTACTGTTTATCCATTCACCTACTGAAGCTTATCTTGGTTGCTTCCATGTTTTGGCAATTATGAATAAAAGCTTGTGCAAACAATTGTGTGTATGTATGCAAAAATTTTCAACTCCTTCAAGTAAATACCAAGGAGTGTGATTGCTGGGTAACACGATAAAAGTATATTTAATTAATTAAGAAACTGCCAAAAGTGGTTGTACCATTTTGTATTTATGACTATTGATGAATGAGAATTCCTGTTGCTCCATATCCTCTCCAGTGTCTAGTGTTGTTAGTGTTCTGGATTGGGGCCATTCAATCGGTCTATAGTAGTATCTCACTGTTGTTTTAATTTGCGTTTCTTTCATGGCATATGATCTTTTAAGATACTTATTTGGCATCTGCATATCTTTTTTGGTAAGGTGTCCATTCAATACTTTTGCCCATTTATTAGCTGGGTTTTCTTATACTTCAATGGTGTGTTCTTTGTATATTTTGGATAATTTTTATCAAATGTGTCTTTTTCAAATATTTTCTCATTCTCTTGACCATTTTTAAAGTTGTGCAATTGTTATAAGACCTGTTTTTATATACAGGTGCATGTACGGTAAAAAGTTAAAGTTGCCTTTCACCCCACAATCTAACCTCCTCACCCAAAGTTAATTGTTACTGTGTACCTCTTTTCACACCTTTTCTATGCATTTACTTAAAATAAAAGAATATGTGTATCTAGTATATAGAAATTTTGTCAAGATAATATATTTTTAAATTCCAGTTATGGCTTGGATGTGATTTAGCCTCAAAGGGTGATGTGTTGGGGGCTTGGTCCTCAGTGGGGTGGTGGTACCTTTAAGAGGGGGGACTTAGTGGAAACCTTTAGGTGGTGGGGGTGCTGTTCTTGGGATGCTGGTCCACTGGACAAAGTTCTCAGGAGAGTGACTTGTTAAGAAAGCCTGACCCTGACGCCTGATTCTCTCTTTGGTTTCTAACTGGCAGTGTCATCACCATGAGATGATCTGTGTCTAGAATTTTTAAAAATTAGACAGCAGCCAGTAGGTGGCACTAAAACATCTCATATAGAACTTTTTAAATGCTCTGTACCTGCATTCCTAGGTGTAAGCAACAGCTGAAGTGTTCAGTGACCTTAAAGTAGACAGCATTGCTGGGCTGCAATATATCGGAACTGAAATATTTACATTTCTAAATTCAACACCAATTGACTCAATTGACTTGGAGTGTTTATTGAAAACACAAGGGGTCTTGGCCTTCTGGGGGAGGGGCATTGATTGGCCTTGAGTCCAACACTGGGGAATGCCAACTTCCTAGAGATGGCTGAGTGGTTTCCTTGCTTGCTAGCTGACCGTTAGGCTGTTACCCTCCTGGGTGCCCACAGAGCCCTATTATTCATGATAATAGCAGTAGCCAGCGTATCCACTATCTAGCCCTATTTCCCTGAGCCCGATGCTAACACCTACACGCCCAATGACTTGAGTGCACAATTTGAGAGAATCTGAGCTTGTGGACCCTGAATACCTGCAGTAAGCCTATCTGTCCTATTACTCCAGGGCACTCTTCATATTTCCATGAGTGTAAGCAAACTGTCCTTGCTTTGGAGAAAGACACGGTTTGTCTTGAAGGCCATTTACTATACATTCTTGAAAGGAAACCTAAAACAAAGGACATGCTTGCAAGACATGCAGAACTGTGAGACACCCACGGAGACTCCTCCCACAACGGTAGAAGTGTAGAGGGTGAAAGAGGCATGCTCCAGGCTGGAGAAGATGTTTCCAGAGGGGGATCTCTAAGCCTTCTGAAGATTAACCTGGGTCTTTGCCCAGGAGGCTGCAACCTGGGCAGTAATGTACTGCTGGGACCTGTGGCCTTGCCTGATGGTCCCCTTTTGAAGCTTTGCAAGGCCACATTCTACCTCTTGCCTCCCTACAGCAGTACTGTGGAAAGATGTGCCGCAGGCACCGTCTGCTTCTTGCTCAGGAACCCTAGAGGGAATACCCAGCCCAACCAGGAACAACCTGTGGAGCACATCTTTCTTTCTCAATGAGACAAAAAAGGGAAAAAGTGGCACAACAGCTCTAGCAGAGGTGCCAGGACGGCAGAGGGAGGTGCAGGAGCCCAGGAAGGTCACCTCCTGCCTTGTTCAATGAGGCTTAATAATGCGAGACCTCCTGGAACACTCACTAGGCTTTCTCTTTGTGTCTAAGCAGCAAATTGGAGTGGAGATGAAGGACTTAATCTCCTTCCAGTGAAAAGGTCAGAGGGCATTATTGCTTTGCGCTGCTAAGAAGAGTGTATGTTTCAGGCTGGGAATTTGTGGTGCCTAGAAATAAATCAAGGACAGATCATTTTTGGTTACTTCTCTGAAATCTTTACTTCCCATTACAATTTAAATTATGTATTAAAAGGACACAATAGAGCCAGGCATGGTGGTGCACACTAATCCCAGCACTCAAGAGTTCCAAGCCAGCCTGGTCTATAGAGCAAGACCCTATCTCAAAAAGAAAATAAATAAACAAACCAATCTTGGGGAGAAAAAAGAAAGAAGAAAAAAACACGAAATAATAAAAGTATAGAACAATAGCCGTGTTTTCCAGTGCTGAGGAAGGAACCCAGGGCCATGCTAGGCAAGTGCTCTACCCTAAACCCCACCCCCAGGGCAACAACGTACTTTTGTTAGTAGAAAAGAACTCAGAGATGGCCTAATCAAATAGTTTTTGAACTGACATGATAGCATTGCTCAGACCTCCATGGAGAGGTTTTGGGGATCCAGCCTTCTAGTGTGGGACACGTTTGACCACCCAGAAGTCTGGATACCACTGGGAAGCAAACCATTCCCAGAAAACCATTAACGAAACAGAGCAGTCAAGAACTTTGGACAGAAGAGTTCAGGGTGACAGATGTGACCTGGTGTGAGGAAACAGCCCCTGAACTGAATAAGAGATGAGGCACCATGCAAAGCGGGTGTTTTCAAGCTACTATGCAGTGTGGTGGCACAGGATCCGCAGAGTCCTCAGTTGTGACCTGCAGGAAGTACAGACACCTGTGGTGTTTTATGTCAAGAGTTTAGTACTTAAGCGACACAATAGAAAAGAGTTAACTGTCCCTATTTAGATTGTTTCAGCTGAAGTTTGTGGGTCCAGAGGGAGAATACTATACCCAAGTGGTGACCTGGTATTTATCCTGTAGGC